CATACTACTAAACAATTGATAAGCAACAAGTTTCATGTTTTCAAGTTGTGTTTGCAACTAGGCCAATATGAAACAGCAAAAATCACCAAACAAATGAGCATTAACAACAAAATAATACAAATGTGTAAAAAAGCTTGTAGACAAAATAATTTGCATGATAAATACATAAAATAGACTAAAGATAATTATGAATGACTTTTAGAGACGAGAGACTAGAAAGAGATAAAATACTAATAACATAATGCACCGCACTGAAAACACAAACAGAGTGATTCGGCGTCATGGTATAACCAAAACATGGGCCAATGAAGCCCCATATTGTAACCACACTTGCCCATAAAATTAGTTCAACTTACATTTAATAGGAAGTGTCATTATGCGGTTACAAATGTCATAAGTCCTTAAAGATGAAAAAAATAATAAATAATTAAGTAAAATACATAAAAAAGATAAATTGAATAATGAAATTCAAGACAATAGAGATTCACTAGAAGGTGGTAAACATTATTTCACAATAGACATTATTCTTTGTGTAAAAACAGACAGTTTGACTAATACAGTTCTATCAGTACTTTGAAATAATTGCTGTAAATTAATATGTTACCTCTTCGTTAAATAATGGACAAGTACTTTCTACGATAAATTGAGGACACTGTAAAATATAATGAAACGCATCACCTAATGAAGAAATATTTTGAGAGAGATGGCAATATCTTAAATTATAATCCAAATTTATATAACGACCCTTTTCAATAGGGAGTTTATGTTAACTGCATCTAAACCTATACAGCGACAAGGCTAGGTTTCTTAGTAACAGTTTAAAATAGGGTTCTAACTCAAATGAGGATTTAAAAATTCTGTAAGTGATTACATTTGCTTAGAGTTTAAACCCTGTTTCGTCACCATTTCAACATATTTGGTCAATTGATTCTACATCTTGGAAAATATTTTTGAATATAAGAAGGTGTATAACTACAGATTTGTTTTATCCCAGTAATTCTTAATCCACAAACAAAACGCATTTATATTGTTGCATATTGAATTTGTCTATTTTAACATCAGCTTAGCTCATCTATGGCATTGATACTACAGTTTCCGAGGACGGTCCAATGGCAACCACATTAGTGTTCTGTACTGATCTATATTATATCGCCAAGGACATCTCTGTTATCATGGTTTTAAAGTGTGAATGATTTTGCTAACGCAACATTTCTGTTGTGGGATAGACCACTCATACATCTATTCGATAGTGATCTAAATACATCAATTTGGAAGAGTACCAAGCGCCCCAAATACCAAAGCACTTGGAGTGGACTTGTTGACATTCATTATGAGTTTAAGATATTTCAACTGAATCTGTTTTACAATATCAATGTTACCTACACCCCACACTTCTACACCATATAACAAAATAGGATTGACCATAGAGTCAAAAAGTTGCAATTGTAAATCTATATCAAGACAAAGAGTTTTGGATTTTTAAGTCAAGTTATAAACACAGCATTGTGAGACATGATACTAGATATCCGTAAAGCAGACAACACGAAACGCACGGAAACCACGCATACCCATTAATAAATCCCCTTGAGCAACTGCACCAGAAGGTGCACAGGACTGGCGACGGCAAGAACGTCTACATTTGATATATCTTATTTCATTCAACTTTGAGATTATTCTACGAGAATAATAATTCTGTGAACTGTGCTCTCGTATTTGCATAGCGTTTATTAAACGCTGCATACATTTACACAACATGTGTTGTGTATCCGATTTCCTTTGAATATTTATGACCGAATAAAGCTCTGGTAACGATAAATGGTCCACAACGAAAGCATGTGAAGGTTGCGCTTCGAAAGTTTGTTTACATTTCTCCGGTAGATGCGCGTTTGCTTATTTAATATGCTGCTGATTTTTTTCAAGTTTTATTGATTGTTCAAAGAGCAAATATTGTGTGAAAATGATTTAATGGTAAATATTTATTTATAATGCTTTGTTTGCCTTATTTATTGAACGTTTAACAGTCATATTATGCACAATAAACACGTATTATGCTTTTTGATACTTCCACATACAATCATAGTATAAGTAACAAATTCCACGATGAAATTCATTTTTATTGTGCCTTGATGTTCGATATATGTAAGGATACTACTAAGTATAAACACGTTTTCTTTAATATTTATGCTAGTAAAACACAAGAAGGGGTAAAAGGGCTATAGAAACAATACAACTAACAATTTCATTTATATAAGACAGTTCAGAATAAATAAGTTCCTTAATTGCGAAAGTGAAGGCAACTAGTACTGGTAAACTGCGTAAAAGCCTGCCCAGGAAAGATACGGTGGATGAACTGTGCTCTGGTAATTCAATATGGCTTAATGCCGTGATTCGGAGTGAAAACTACCAATACCACCACGCTCCCGGCCTTAGAAGCCGTCCCGTTAGCTCAAAAGGTAAAGCATTGGACTGTGAATCGGGCGACACGGGTTCGATTCCCGGACGGTGCAGGCCACCTTCGTTGATATTAATCAGGAAATCCTTTCTACAGTCATTCGCATTCAATGTGAAGGCAACTAGTACTGGTAAACTGCTTGACTGCCTGCTTAGGAACGATACGGTGGCCTAGCTGCGCTCTGATAATTCAATGTGGCTTACTGACGTGATCCGGATTGAAAACTACCAACAACACCGCTCCCGGCCTTTTCAACTTCGCCAGCGTTCAAAAAGGTATGGAAAATAAACTTTTTGTAGAACACAATATTTTAAAGTCCTCTCCTTCCCACCACTTATATGTAATAACCGAATTTCTTTTGCTGCCATAAAATTTCGAACAAGTCGATACAATACAAATATTTCGTCATAACTGGAATTTTCCAACGTTTGGTCGCTGAAAAAGAACAGGTTATTAGAGAGCTTCTGTACATGGACACAAAGTAAAACATTGATTGGCTACCGTTACTGGATTATATTTTTTTTGTCGTTTTTTTTGTAATAAATGAAATAATCTCATAAAAATCATTTGAAATAGGTATCAAACTAAATGTATATGGGCTCTTCGGATAATTTATATACGATGATTACTTATAGGATATGTCAATCACAAATGGCTTATAATAATAATAATAATAATAATAATAAAATAATTAATAATAATAATAATAATGATGATAATGATGATTATAATAATAATGACGATAATAATAATAATAATAATGATAAACATAATAATAATAATTATAATAATAATAAAATTATGATAATGATGATGAAGATGATGATGATAATAATAATAATAATAATAATAATAATAATAATAATAATAATAATGATAATAATAAAATGATGATGATGATGATGATGATGATGATGATAATAGTAATAATAATAATAATAATATTATTATTATTATTATTTTTATTATAATCATTATTATCTTTTTTTTTTTTTTAATCATAATAATAATTTATATGTTTTCTATATAATCTTGGGAAAATAACTGATAAATAGTTCTTTTTATTAGTGAATTCCAACGACATACTTAAAATAGTACTGTGAATCTGTCTGTACAGGCTTTGAAGAAAATTCAATTTGATAAAATAACTACAGGGAAAATGAAAAGTTATTTTGCCGTTACTTTAGTAAGTAAAAATGCTGACTTCCTGACTACAAAATATTTAATACATAAATACGGCTTCTGACAGTCTAGTGACAGATTGATGAGCGTTTATTTTTCCTGCATCAATATGTTTAATATAGTTCGCATCCCATGTTAATAAATCGGTAAAATGTTCTTATCTGTAGCCTTTACAATAACTTAAAATTATTTTCCATCCGATGAACTTTTACAATATTGTCAGTATGAACTGCCGTGGAGTGAAGAACAACTTTTTCATTATCTAGCTCCTTCCAAACAACAGATACAGTAGGCGACAGGGTATTAATCTGAAATATATAGGAAATTTATATGTAAGAAACTGAGCGTATAACTGTTGGAAACAGAAATAAGGTTCATTTCTGTATCTAAACCGTTCAGAAAATACCGTTTCTACACCGCTGCATTGAAAATTTGAAAAATACATGTTTTCGAGTATTCATAAACACTTTTCACAAAAACAACTTCAAACAACGTAAAACATTGGATAAACATGTCTAAATACAACAAATTGTATCGAAAGCATGAGTCCTTTTAACAACTTATATCTAAAAACAATGCTCGATCCTCGATTCAATTTTCGATTTTCCAAATTAGTAATGTTTAATGCAAGATATCTCAAAACATAATGACAGTGGAATATTTCTATATTTTATCGATGCCATATACGTTCTTCATGCACATTTTGCTAATTATGACCAGATATTTTCAAGAAAAAATGTTAAAGATGAGTACCTTTCCTTCTTTGACAGTCCGCCATCTTGAGGGTATCTACACATTTCCTACCACAGTGTATACACCCAAATAGTTATAATATGTGTTAGTAGTTAAAACGATTGCTTAAAGGTTATGTAACGGTAAGAGGTCACAGTCTGTACATCTTAAACTTGCTAAATGCGTATACACTGTAATGAATTTATAAAAATATTTTCAACATTTGTTTTGTTCTGTGAGGACTTTGAAGCGATAAATATATTTAAGACATATTTTAATACATGGAAGAGGAAAAAAATTCTATGCCGACATCAATTCTATCAGTACCACTTTACAAAGCAATAACACTTATTGAAATGCACGATTCTTATAAGTATTTAACTTTATTCATTTATTTGAAACTTTATTTAATCAACCCATCATTGATTGTCAATATTCAATGTTCGGAAAATTAACAAGCATACATTTGATGATTCGTGAATGCATGTAGTGTGTCTGTCAAACCCTATTAGTGCGTTCATTACATAAAGTAAACGCCGGGCTAATTTCTTTCTTGTTATTGACAATCATTGGACATTAATTAAAACGTCACATTTTACGAGCATGCGCTGTCAACTTTCCGATATTTTGGACAGGCAGCGCAGTCAGGAAATATAATTACGAATAGAGAGCAAATAACAGATCATGATTTAATCATACAAATAACGAGACAAATTTAATTTGTTCATTTTACTTAATAATACATTTTTTGATTTATCAAGTGAGTGAATGCTGCATAAAAAGCAGTTATGAAATTATTTGCGGTACATGGAAACTAAAAGAAAGTACATGCATACTAGTGCTCGTGTATATGGTGGAAATTTCTGATATATTTTCTGAAACTTTCGAATATATTTTCGAATTAATTGAAAATGAAACTGTGGATTTTAGTTTGTAGTGTGGGAGTAGTTTGTTCTCAGGTTGCCCAGTTACGACAGCTGCAGTTGGCAAATAGTAAGTGCATACGTTTTTAATAGATCAGTTGTATTGCACATGTTCGTAATAAAGCAGTTGTTGGCAAATAGTAAGTGCACACGTTTTTAATAAATTAGTTGTATTGCACATTTTCGTAATAAATTAGTTGTTGGCAAATAGTAAGTGCACACGTTTCTAATAAATCATTGTTGGCAAATAGTAAGTTCACACGTTTTTAATAAATCAGTTGTAGTGCACATGTTTGTAATAAATCAGTTGTTGGCAAATAGTCAGTGCACACGTTTTTAATAAATCATTGCTGGCAAAAAGTAAAGTGCACACGTTTTTAATTAATCAGTTTCTAGCTATTTACTTTTTTCAGATTACACAATTCTATTAGATTAATTCAAATATTATTTAGTCCGTTTCTAGTATAATTTACCTACTACAAATGAGTTTTCTAACGTATGCAGCCATTTTGTTGTCATTTGCTATTTTGTCAATACATGTGTGACAGGTGAAAGGTTAATCAGGAAAACAAAGTAATAAGACAATTAACAATTTTATATTTGTAAATGAAAGTGGTCACCGTCATTACCTTTTCAAACATAATTTTTTCCATACATATACATGAACAGAAAATATCATTAACAGAATTAAATAAACCAAAGTTGTAAGAGGTGCTAGAAAAAATAAGAGAACAACGCATTTAACACCTTCAAATGCGCTGCTGATCATGTTGTTTACAAAAGGGCTGGAGCCCATAATGCCCAATTTTAAAAATTTCAACTAATTTTTATTTTCATTCCGAAACAAACTCAAAACTTTTAAAGGCCAACTCTTATTTCGTTGTTGATAACCCCAAAAATTGATAGAGGACAGTTAAAAAATGCTCGATGAGTACTTATCAGTAAGACTTAAAATATTGTTGTTGTTGTCGTTTCTGTAATTACAATATGGTCAAACAAAAGATAAAGACCACCTCTTTGCAAAGACCACATTTAGGTAAGCATTTCATGTATATTTCATGTGTATCATTTTATTATAATTTTGTCAGTTTTGAAAAAACATAGTACACCATTTCTTGTACATATCGGACGTAAACCTATCAACAAAGGGTACCATAATGCAGCTTCAACCAAGGTGCCTAATTCTCAACCCAGGGATCGTGAGTTCGAGTCCTACAAGGATAGATACAATGTTTCCTGGTATGACACCATGCAGGCATCAATTTTATAACACTGTTTTCTGAGTTCAGTCTCGAATCTATGGATTTCTATTCGACAATGGACATTCTGTACAGAACTGAGCTTGCGTTCTGGCCCAGTACTGATGAGTTCCAAAACTTGTGAGTTATTTCAAAAAATGATGGAACCTTATTTGATGAAAGTTGTTTACACCAAAGGAACCATCCCGGTACTTTTCTAATAACTTTTCAGTGTAACTATGATTTGTAAAACAGAACGAGCTAGTTTGAACTAAAATATATGTTTCAAAAAGTGAAATGAAATGAAAACATGCGTAATTTTGTGAAAAGTTCATTCAACTGTGTAATAACACTGTCATGTTTACATACATACAAAGTCCCCTTTCTTTTTTGTGAACTTGTACACTAGACATACTTGACTTTAATGCTGACCATTACACGTATTTTACGGCCCCTTTGACCATAAAATATCGCATTACCACATTTCCCCTATATAAAACATATAAAAACAATGGGTTGACATGTCTTTACGTTGCCTCATGTGTTTTTCTCCTTTGATAATAATTTTGATACAAAGTTGTAAGATTAAAGTAGTGTTAAAATAGGGGAACCTCGTGTGCCATAAATGTATTTCTGCGTTAAAGATATATGTTAAAACATTGCTAATGTTTATTGCCGGCAAATGTCTGTTTCCCTTGACATCATTCTTAAAGACACACCACGAACTAAACTGTTTTACGATCGTATTCATACAAAAATTGTAGTGACAAATTTGGAAAATACACACAATGATCATTAAATTTAAGATACATTAGTAAATTATAAAGAAATTAAGAATCAATGTAAATATGCTTTCTTACTATCAATACATGAAAATCTGTCGCCGATATTGGTCTTTAACCCTTATCCTGTTGGCGCCTTCAGAATCTAATCACGTGGCCAGTGCCAATGTCGTCTTATGTTCGCTATTCAGTTAGTACATATTTTGATATTTTCCCTTAAAAATAATGAATAATTTTGTACTGATTGAAAGATAGACAGGTTCATTTAAGATATTTAGCGGAGCAAAAGTTTAACTTAAATTCTCAAAAATAATTGTTTACCCTTTTTGTTTATTATTAAAATCAAATAAAACTGTTTTGCGTATCGTGATAAGCTTATTTTCTTTTTCAAGTGCGCGAGATTGAAAAATAACATGACATTTAGACGTAAAATAATGTCTCATGTCAAAGTTTGATGTATATTCACAGTTGTCTTTATTTTCATTAAACTTGATAGTATATTGTACTTTAGTCCGATAAATGACAGCATTTGTATCATGACAAGCAATAATATTAAATGATAAGAAGTATTTTTACCAGGTAATTAATTTCAATAAAAAAAATAAATAACTAAAAATGAAAAAATATGCAAAGTATAAAATCTATTCAAGTTTTGTTAATGAATTTCAGCACCGCTTACAGATGCGTCATTTCACACGTGTTTGTTTAATTCAAATTAAGTCACTTATTACATACCATTCAAGTGTTTACATTAATGTTTCCTTGCATCAAAGTAATTTTACATTAATTTTTCAGTGCATCAAAGTATTTTTACATTAATTTTTCAGTGCATCAAAATATTTTTACATTAATTTTTCATTGCATCAATGTATTTTTACATTTATTTACATTGCATCAAAGTATTTTTACACATTAATTTTTCAGTGCGTCAAAGTATTTTACGTTAATTTTTCATTGCATCAAAGTATTTTTACCTTAATTTTTCATTGCATCAAAGTATTTTTGCATTAATTTTTCATTGCATCAAAGTATTTTTACGTTCTTCATTGCACCAAAGTATTCTAACATAAATTTTTCATTGCATCATAGTATTTTTAAATCATTTTTTCATTACATCAAAGTATTTTTATGTTAATTTTTCATTATATCAAAGTAATTTTTACATTAATTTTTTATTGCATCGAAGTATTTTTACATTAATTGTTCATTGCATAAAAGTATTTTTATGTTAATTTTTCATTATATCAAAGTAATTTTACATTGAATTTTCATTGCATCGAAGTATATTTACATTAATTTTTCATTGCATCGAAGTATATTTACATTAATTTTTCATTTCATCAAAGTATTTTTATGCTAATTTTTCATTATATCAAAGTATTTTTACATAAATTTTTCACTGCATCAAAGTATTTTTACATTTTTTTCCCATTGCATCAAGGTATATTTACATTGATATTTCCTTCCATCAAAGTCTTTTACGCGGTGTGTACGTGTGTCGTCAGTACTGACGTAATTCTATAATTTAATTGTTATAAAATTGACTAGTGTTGATGAAAAGTTACTTTGAACTATTAACAGAGGCTTCGTAGTCCGAAATAGTGCCCAATTGATATAACATATTGAGATTCAGATAACATGTTAATGTAAGGAACAATACATAACATGTATTTTTGTTCTTTAATAAGAAAATCAGTAGGTTTAAATTATGGTTAGGTATTTATAAAACTTATACAACTTTTGAAAGTGAATTAAATTTAAAGTTTATCAATGATATATAAATGCAAATTTTTCAAACCAGTTTATACTAAAATTGAGGATAACCTGCAGTTTCATGTTTGAGAAACCTTGAACACCTAATGTTTGATTTATGAGGTAGTCCGTACACAAGAAATATGACGTATGACGTAACGATACATGTATTACAGAGGCAACGTCAACGTGCTTATTAGCGTTCATTCATATAGCTCTAGATGGAAAAAAAACACCAAAAATATTTCATTATTTTAATGGGATTAAGTTAAAAACCTGCTCATTTTAGTCATAAACACTGTATGGGGAAAAAACAGTAACTTTTTCATAAAGGGAAACTGCGTGTTTGGACAATCAGATATTCCGCCTGTTTCACATTCCGACAAAAATTTTGATTATAAAAATAAATACAATGAATGAATGAATGAATTAATTAATGAATGAATGAATGAATGAATGAATGAATTAATTAATTAATTAGTACTGGCATGCGAGCAGTTCCCGTGCAAAAATCGTAGTTACTTAAACATTATTTTTTATTACGCTCACTCACCAAAATTTTAATGTTACACATCACTATTCAGCTCGTTACACAAATCATGGAAATTCCATCATGTTCTAAACATAGAATAACCCTTAGTTATGAGGCCTCATATGGGGTACCGAAATTATCCATTATTTTGTATGAAGAGAAGTAGTTCCCGTACATAAAATTTAACCCATTATAATTATACAATTTTGTTATATCGGACCTATTTTTCAATTATAATTGTTGAACAGACCATTTTCTAAGAGATAAATAGATGTAATTCAGGAAATAGAGCGTAGACTAAACGCTGGTATCAATTACCCGGTACCGTTACCCCAACGCATTCTCATGCAATGGCATGCTTGTATGCATGATATTTTACGCATGAAAGCCATAAAATTATTTAATATAGTAATATTGATCAAAATTCTGATAATTAAACAAGTTTTCACCACATTGCCTACTTATCTGTAAACAGGTGGTATAAGTGGAAAACCCTTTAACGGGCCTCACGTGTAAGTATTTTAGCGCATGCGCGCAAGGACGGAATCCCCCAGAGAAAACAAGGTCACGTTTTGACAACGCACAGGTGAAAGTGATTTAAAATGAGACTTTTATACGTACTGCCGAACTGACACTTAGATTTTGTCTCTTTTATGCATCTGCTTGATTTGAAATGAATTTTTGAAGATTGCAAGTAAAAATCAAGCGTTTAAATGAAAAATACGGGTACTGCTTCTGTACGGGAACTGCTCGCATGCCAGTACATAAATAAATAGAAATAAATAAATAAATAAAAATATGAAGAGTGGTCTTTATTGCAAAGTGATCTTTATTCGTCTTAAACAAGATGTTACTGTTTTTATGTGTCATTTGAATTGGCAGCTGTATACTCTATGCCATGATATAAAGGATTTTTAAAATGTTATTAAGGAAACTAACTCCTGGACCAAGTTTACTTTTGGTTTTCAGACTCTCGCAGATCACAAAAGGCACGTAAGCAAAACTGAAATGGATGTTCATTAAACGTGCATACACCGTGCATATCCTGTAACGCAGCAATGTGAAAATAACGCACACATTGTACAAAAGTAATGTCAAATCTGTGCAAAGCCTTTACGAGAAACACTGTAGGAAAATGACTTAAGTATTTTAAAAAAAGAAATGAAAAAGCGCACGGCTGCTGTGACATTATACTTTCATCATCATTAAAAACATCCAGCAATTTATTTACTTACAGTAAACTTCACTTACAGCGAACACGGTTATAGCGAACTTCCGGTTACAAGGAACAATTTATTTTGGCCCGAATTTTGCTCTTCTATATCTAATATAAAAATATACGGTTATAGCGAACACGGTTATAAGGAATTATCGCTTATAAGGAACTCATTTTTTAGTCCCAATTCAGTAAAAAGTACAGAAAATTACACTTTTATAGCGAACTCTAAAACATCAGCTATCCGTTAAGTATATCCCGCATTTTGAACTTTCCATTTTTTTTAAACTCGCCCGAATGTACCGTTTATTGTTGTCTGTACTTAAATACAGCTATGAAAATGAATTTGTATAGCAGTACGTTTAGGATATTTTAAGTATGAGTTCTTGTCACCAAGATAAAACGGCTATTCCTTTTATTGTGTTATTTCTTTTCTTTAATAGGTTTGCTCGAGTAAAATAATTATGATCATTTATAATCTGTTTTCAACATAATCACGCATGCTTACTAATCCATTTGAAACTACAAAATACGTTTGATCGAAATAAAAAGAAATCTATATCTTTCATAATTAAAAGTTACCCTTAAAATATTAAATATTAAAAGATGGAAAATCTTGTTTATTATTAATCATGGAAAGAAAACGAAAGCACTGAGTTTAGAAACAAAATATGATATTTTATGAGAAATTGAAAAACAAAGTAAAACTTAAACTGAAATAGTAAAGGATTTTCAAATTCGAAAAAGTACACTCTCGGGTTTTGTGTCTAAAAAGAAATAAATGACTATTTTTTCTTAATCAAATGCTGTTAAAAATGGCGGACGATGGTAAACAGTAAGTTCGTTATATGTAAATCTGTTCGCTATAAAACTCCTGAAACAAGGAACTAATTCGCTATATGTTTATAAGGAACTCCGGATATAAGGAACATATTTTGAATGTCCCAATGAGTTCGTTATAAGCGGAGTTTACTGTATTAAGATCAACGTGAAAATGATGCTCCGACTATATTAATAAGGGCAAAAACGCAAAATATCAGACTTTATTGCTTTGAAATTTGGTATACTGTAGAAATGGCAAACTATTAGATATAGTGTCATGTCATGCTATTAATTATATTAATTTAAAACCGACGAAACAAAACAAAATCGCCTTTCAATACGTTAATAAGGCCGATATTCTTACGAATAATCTTGAAAAACAAGCACTTCTGTGAAATTTCTGCGTAACTATTGCACAATTCCTGCGCTATTTTCACAGATCTGCGTTACTGGATATGCATAGTGGCATAGCTTAAAACGTTTCTACTTTTAATATAACTATAGAAGACTCATCACATTCAAAACTCAGGTAACGTCATAGCTTTTAGGCAATGGCGTCATGTCCTGTATTAAGTCACAATTCCTTGTCATTGTTATCAAACAAAAGTGAATGCTATGTGTCCAAGCAATCAAAACCACTTCAGCTTTCATGTCAAGCTGGGCCGCTTCAACTTAATACGTAACGATCCGCTGGTGATTATTTCTCCAGAAATAAAACCGCTACTAGTAAATATGTTATTGACAAAATTAATGTATATTGACCTCGACGTCCTACTTATAATGTTATACCTCTTAGATCTCGTCTCGTGAGAGGAAATGTTATCATTGATGATATTGAAATTATTTGCAGACGAGTGCACTAACTTGACCTTGATATTGTCTTGAGAAATGCCAATTAATGCTGAATTACGTGCGTGCACAAGGCAGCAATAAACATTTTAGGGAAACGTCCTAGTATAAACAATTGACTTTTGTAATAGCTTGTGAATACATATTCAATTTCATACCTCGTTATTAGGATGATAAAATGTATTGTTATAATCGTTTCCATTGCAATCTGATTTATGATTTATGAAAATGTTCAATAACTGAATTCTCGTCGATTAACTTGGCCTTGTTCTCCCGCAGTGAAAGCCTATAAGAAAACAAATTTTACAAAACAATCAAAATGTCTCTTAAATGAAATCATAATGCTGCACGGTTGCTTTTCGTCAAATTAAAAGTAATTCATGAAATTTGCAAAAGCCGCGTGGATTATATCAACGTCAGAAAAAAAATATCCAATGAAAAGTGATGATACAAACGTGGAATATTTTTTTTAATCCAGTGTACCAATAAAAAGCGGTTGCAAACGTTTAGTATTATAATCCCTTAAAGCGTTTGTAATGCATAATCAATTGTTTGTTTTTTTGACCAAAAGGTTTTCGTCGTTTTCAGAAAATGGATTGAGTGACTTTATTGAACGATTCTATTATTTAGGAAACTGTAATGGCCTTCGGATAGTCCCAAGTGGATAGAACTGTTATCTAAGTCCTTGAGAACTCTTAGAGTAGGACGTTTACATTTTGATGAACTTGTTATTGGATAAGAAGAGCCAATTAGCATTGATCTCAATATCTGAGTACCATCAATACAAGACTATACATCTGCAGTTTCCATTAATCTGTTATTGTTGATAAGAAATCATTGCAGAGCGTAGAATATTACGTAGATGACGGATAAGTGCTATATGCATGGTCTCGAAAATGGATAAATCGAAAACGATAACAAAAACATGATACAATTTAGGAAGTTGCAGATTTGGAGGATGATATGGCATTCACCGGTCAGCAAAATCATCAGTTTATTGTCTAATTTCGGAAGAATATCATTTTACTTTATCTTGAAATTCGATAATAACAAATAACATTATTTTGATATTTGATAATAACAAAATAATCAGGTTATACCCGGTCACTGGCAGGAATTGCTTGTTTACCTATTGGGACGATCTTCCTTAGGTTATGAAAACGTAGTAAACAACGTTTCTGAAATATTACGTTATTTTTTAGAACTGGGACAAATTCAAATTTCTCAGACAGACCATAGTTTTAGCTGTAGTAAAATTCATTCAAGATATTATATCCTGATAAAATACCTTGATGATTGTTTCTTAATAATAACTTTTCTCAATATCTTTATCTTGACTAGGTTCTATGATACAATGTACATATAATATATAATAATAAGATTTTTTTGTATATCTAAATATAAAACATTTTGTCCGGAGCAAAACTTCTACATGCATAGAGAGATTTCGATATAACTGGGCACAAATGTGAGGCGGAGTGTCGTGTACAAAATTTAGGTCCCCACGGCCAAGGCCAAGGTCACACATAGGGGTCAAAGTTCAGATAAAAATATGAAAATGTGTATTCGGACCATTTAGTCATCATTTATTGAGGGGTTGAAACACAAATGGTCATAATCATGAAATATACTCTAAACTACTTTAAAATGAAAATCGTATTTTTGTGCTATTCTTTCAACGCTTTTCAATTTTTGATCATTTTTCACAGTGAGGATAAATATTCAGGAAAAACGGAGTAAGGGAGTGATCTGAAATTTTACGCACAAGTTATCAGTCTTGACCTATACATCAAACAGAACATTTATCTCAAAATATTTTTTCCTGTCCCGTCATGTCAAAAAACCTCAGTGGACTTCTTTTAAGTACACAAACTTGCAATGAATTATTAAGAATACCTTTTCTCTATTTTCAGTGCTTCAAAGAAGGAATAATCTTCTGCAGCAAACAATGCTCCAAAACTTACGTAATCCGGCCGCAGCCCTTGGACCGAGCCCAAGCGTCGGTCAGAGTTCCCGCCTTGTAGAGCAGTTAAACAGAATGACTCAGAACATGATGAACAATTTAAATGGCGGAGCGAGCGCTGGTTCCCCATCTGTGAACACGAATAATCTTATTCCGGTAGACGTATTGCTCAGGCAACAGAGAAACTTGCAAGCACAAATGTTGCAAAATCTTCAAAATACACCTAGCGTTAATGTGAATATACCAAATACTTTAACTACTGGTATTACACAAACTCAGAACCTTAATAATCAAGGTAATCAACAAACACTTAATCCTAATGACGTCAACGTTGTTGTTGTACCACAAAATAACGCTCGTGTTTCAACAGCGCCTGCTGGTACGGGTACTTCCGTGGTAACTCAGACGTCAGACATAAATCCATTTTCTGCCAGCACTGGTAATACAACATTTGACGATATTTTCACAAACTTCGGCGGGTTTAGTGTACCAAGCACATCCGCTGACTTTTGGACCGGAAGGACAGACACACTGCGTTCAACCGGAAGTGATAGACAATCAACTGGCTTTCCATCGAGTATGTTTCCGTCTACTGGCAGTATAACAAACCTTGACACTCGTCAGAGAACAGGTTCGCAGACGACTTTCGACCCTGCGACTGGTATAACATTTGGAAGCGGGTTTACTTCTGACCAGCAGACGACATCTGATACCGGCCCTCAAAGCACCGGAACCCAATTTAACACACGTGGAGGAACAACATTTGATAGTGGAACCTCAAGTGGCATTGGGTCAACTTCCGGTACAAATCAACCAGGAACCGGATCTACTTTGGGTAGCGGAGCTACACTTTTTGGTATAAACTTACCGGGCGGATTTACATCCAATTTTGGCACGACAGGTGACACTGGCACTTCTGGTGCAGCAACGACATTGACTACAGGTGGGGTGACTGGCACTGCGCAACCAGCTATCGTTCCAGACGCAGTAAGTACATTTGTATAGAAGATTCATCTTTTAACAATATAGATATTTTTCTCCGAAGTATACGGTAGATCGCTATATCGCTATATCCAAGCCAGTGCCTGTCTTTTCATACCACAGTCTTTAGAGGTATAAATGCAAACTCACTTTTACCAGTTTTACAAATTATCTTATGTATATCTTAATATTATAAATGTTGGAAATTCAAACCCAAAATACAATGTATGTTTGATAGAAGACAATATATTTATTTTACCTAATATGAATTTGAGCTCCATTGTTTTGTGATGGTTCTTTAATTAACTAATTAATTAATTAATTAATTGAAATATTGTATATTCATCAGTTGTCGTGTACGGCGGAGTACCAGAAGATTCCCGGACACACCCTGTGTATGACCGACTCCCCTCAACTAACCAGAGCTGGTGTTGACATCGACGATAAGCTGAGGATCACACAGATACACAATAACATGCGAGCCAATGTCCAACCCCCAGCCACCGACCTAGTCTCATTGGTATAGTTACGTTTAATTTAAATTATGAATTGACCATTGACATGCGTGATTCTGTTCACGATTGTCGTAAAAGTATGATTAATGCCAAGCTACAAAAGTATTAGAATTCGTTGCATCACCACAATGTGATTTTCTAAGGACTATTGCTGATATTTAGATTAAACGTAATAATGCTATTGGTGTAATAAAATTAATAGCATAGCATGTACTTTACTTTCGACATCCATTGTCTATTAATCATGTTCGGACTATTCTAAAACAAACGACGGAAATCACCAAAAAAGTTAAAATCATATATAATTTCTATAAATAAAAGCATATCATATAGCAAATTTAGGTCATGTCATTTAATCAGTTTGAAAAATCGAAAATTCGGTTTATGTTTTTACATAATCCTCGGCCGCATCGAATTTCATCTTTTTTATTTCTTTTTAGTTCGACTGATTTTTTTTATCTCGGTGGTTATTTCTTTTAAGAAAATTATTTTTCGTAAAGAAAACAATAGAAATAAAGTAAACTCTCTTTAATAAGCATTTCCTGAAATAATGCCCCATCCCTTATTATGAAGTCAGTTACAAAAATAAAAGAAAAATGAAACATTGCTTTCTCAAAGATTTTTGATTATCTGGCATTGAAATGGGCAAATACAATAATCAAATCAAGGGCAGATAACACAAAAACGGGACAGCCACCCCTATCCTCCTGTTATTTTGGCTTAAAATGATACTGTTATAAAACCATGCAGAGATTAAATAACTAACTTCTATGAAAGTTTTTATTCTGGCTACATGTGTATATTAAAACTGTAATGGTCGTCTAAAAAATCTAATTTATTATTTCATATTCACCTTATTTATTACTTTGTTTACACTCATAAAAAGTTTTAAGAGTAATGACATTTCATTATATTCATTTTAAACCGTGAATACATACCACTTGTCATTTACTAGCATTTTTATCAATTAATTGAATAATGTACACTGTTTATCATGACTCATAGTGAATCATTCATATTTTAAATAATGATTAAAGTCTAGTAAGAGATGTGTACAGATCAATCATACGGACGGCCATAGTTGGGCAATTAACAGATTTATTACACAGGTTTGTCATGTAATAAGTGGTTATAAACCTGATTTAAGGTGACTTTATCGATATTAATAACCGTGTCCATTCATACTAGTGACCAGTCATGCTAGTGACCACTAGTTTTGGTGAACAGTCACATTCAGGAGTGTCTATGTTCATACTGACAATAATAATTACGTCACTTGATGTGAGTCAAGATTAATGAAAAAAGAATCCGTTCTATTCCGAAAAAAAAGTTAAAGAAAACTGTTAAGGAACTCCACTGAGGTATAAAAGCCTAAAACATGAAATTTTAATTTTCTTTCTTAGAACAGATGGGCACTTATAACAGAAAGATATCTTAAAAATAATTAAGCAATATACACAGGAATTAATTGAAAATTGTATTTTTTTGCTACTCTTTACCGATTTGAATGAAAAGCGTTTGTCAACGCCTTTTAATTTTGGGTCATTTTTCACAAGTAGAATAATACCTTTGCACACAAGTTATTGTTAAATGCCTACATTAAATGGAACATTAGTCTCGATTATTGCCAATCCTGTCTAGTAAAAAACCCCAGTGGAGTCCATATGCTAGAAAGCGAAAATTGTAATTTATTAATTTTCTTCAATGAAGCAAGTTTTTTTCAATGCGCGCATCAACATTTTTACCCAAACATATCCCGCCAGGTTCAGCGATAATCGAAAATTTGTCTGATACTGTTTAACAAAAAATCCCGATTTATTTTAAGCCAAATTAAGAACAGGACTTTTTGAAATGTCGTTATAATCGGAAACCGCTTTTCTCATATATACCAATAAATTCTATAATAATTACTTCAATTCTTGTCGTTTGTATATCGGATCTTGGGGCGATTTTTTATATATAATATTTTAAAAGATTGAGGGACCCTGTTGCATTTAGAAAGAGAAATGCCTTTACAATATTACAAATGATTATAAACTTTTGCAATTTACATTTTCTGAAGGACATTTGCTCCTTTTTACTTAAATAATAAAAATGTATAATAAATATGTTATAATAATTTCAGCAATGGGATGACCGTATTGCAGCTGTAGCACAGAAATGGGCGAAACAATGTAGACTTGCACATGACACTGAGAGGAAAATACCCGGTATAATCGCTTAATATATTTATATTGGAAATAGTCACTTCCTCCAGCTGTTATTTAATAGAAAGTCGAATCCTAAAATGATGGGAACACATCTAGTTAAGCGGACTTCAGATAATAAAGAATATAAGAAGGCTTGTTGATTGACAGTCGCAACCGCACTTCAGCTTTTCAGAAATGTATTCAGAAAACTACAATAAAAACTCCGAGTAACAGCATAGTAACAGACACGCATGCGGCCTTGCTTATTTCTGGAGTCCGCTAAACTAGATTATATCCCTTTTTATGTTATTTTTGTTGGTGGTGATGGTTTGTTTCAAACTTTAAACCACATAATTCCTATAATGGACTTACCCTGTTGTTAATCTGAAAGAGTATAATGGTATTAAAATATATACATACACCTAGGAAGACATAACAGCATCAGATCTGACCTTCACGGATGTACAGGCTGGCCTGACATTGTACTTGTGACACAGGGCGAGTTATCATCAGCCCGAGCATTAACAATGTTTGTATCATAGTTTGGGGACCTTTCTGTTGAAAAAGTGTCAGAGTTAAATCGTATACATATACATGCACAGTGCGGTAACTGGAGTGCAGGTATCAGTTACCCGCACTCCAGATAATGCCCGTGGGGTGGTTCATTTTGCCGGGGTTTACATATTTTGACGGCAGAGAAAGGGAAAGGGGCAGAACTATCATATTCAAATGCTCGTTTATTGGTTATTTTTTTCCGGGGTTTAATATTATGACAACAGGGAACGTGCTGTCATGTTTGACTATGATACAAAATAGAAAGAACACCAAAACACCCGGCAATCTGATTTATACTCGGGGGCTACGCCCCCTCGTACAAATCAGATAGCCTCGTGTTTCGGTGCTCTTTCTATTACTAATCATCGTTTATTTTATCAAGTTTAATTTCTTGGATGGTTTCTGTAGGTTTGTTGTTGTTATCTCTTTCATAGCGACTATACTATGTAAATCGGCCACCCACAATCGTACCTTTCATTCTTAATGTTATTATAATAATTTGATTTTTATGATGTCTTAATTTAGAAATGGGAATGTCATTCGGCCAGAATGTGGCTGTGGGGTTTGAAACCTGGCAGGAGGCTATACAAATGTGGTACGATGAAATAAGCCTCTACAGATATGGGCTGGACCCAGATTCATACCTAGGTAAAGATGGCTGGCGACAGATAGCACATTTTACACAGGTAAATTATTAAAACATAACTTTCTATCCGTGTATCATTAGCAAAACAATAAAACAAAAAACTCTTGCAAAATGTTATTTTAAGGGTCACTTCCCTTGTTTTAACTTAAAGGTAAATTCATTACGAAGAAAGTGTTACATGATGATGATGATGATAATGATGATGATGATGATGTTGTTGGTGATGATGATGATGAAAATACTAATTAATAATAGGTCTATCTATAATGATAATAATAATGATGATGATGATGATGATAATGATGATAAATATGATGAAAAGGATAATAATGATAATAATAATAATAAAGATGATGAAAATGATGATGATGATGATTATTATGATGAAAAGGGTAATGATAATGATGATGATGATGATGATTATAATGAAAAGGATAATAATAATAATAATAATAATAGTTATAATAAAGATGATGACGATGATGATGATGATGATGATGATGATGATGATGATTATGATGAAAAGGATAATATTAATGATGATGATGATGATTAGGATAATAATAATAATAATAATAATAATAATAAAGATGATCATGATGATGAAAAGGATAATGATGATGATTATAGTATAAAAAGCCTCGATGACGCCCCAGGCCTTGGTATTTCCCCATCAGTCTCGTCGCTATATTATAACTTTTACATAATGATCGTATACATTTGTACATGTTCATTACAGATTGTACAAAATGGTACGTATCTTATTGGGTGTGGCTATGCAGAATGCCCAGATACACAGTACGTGCGGTACTTTGTATGTAACTATGCAGCTGGGTAAGTGCAATGTTTTTTTTTTCTCAATAGTTTTTTATATAATTAGAATTTATTTAAATTTGCGAAGAAATACTTATATTCTTGAATGACTGATTCATAAATCTGTTCTTGATTGACAATCGTTGCTTATCTAGATCTAGAAGTGTTTTAAATTTTAGAAGATATCTAGACTAAGAAGTGATTAATATATAGGCTGATCTTTAAAAGAAAAGACTATATGCATTGTACATCCGGTACCATCAGCAGATTATTTATACAATTGAAATATTTAAATTTTAAGTAGTGATACAAATGTGAAAACCGAACATCATTTGTTTGATTGTGTAAGAGCGTCACTAAGAAGCTATAAGCTTATAATCTGTTCCTGGAACCAACCAGTACTGAGCAATGAGTGTACTAGCTTATGACCGAGTTTTAACCAATGCGAACAGGAATTATCAGAGTACTAGTCAAACGCGTTAACCACTCGACATGCCATTAAAACACATAACATTCGCATTTACATTGTTTCGATGAGTTCTATAATGGATTTTACGTTTAGATTGAATATTTTTGGTAATACATTTTCTTTATACTTAAATACCGAAACATTGCATTTTACAGACAAACCGACCTTGCCTACCCTTACACCGCCGGCATGAGATGTGAAAGCTGTCCGACCAGTTGTATCAACGGATTGTGTGGTATGTAAATAGAAAAATATTGCTCTTGTAACTAACAGTGACAATAAAACCTGTCAACTAAAACTGATTCTAGCTTCGTTTATGCCTTTGAAAAATAAAAACATGCTAGAAGCCCTTATCATGCGAAATACCATACAGATATTCTATGCTCATCCTTGAATGTTATATTTTAATCCCAGACCGTAATCAATTTTGATGTTGCAATGTTTTTTTATATCGTAATTCTTTTTTTTGGGTTACAGATTGGGGTGGTCTGGTGGGGGTTTTAATGGGGGTTTACCCTTGAAAAGGGAGCACGTCCCAAAGGGTGAATCCCCGGGAAACCTTTTACCCCAGGCGAAAATCCCACATAAGTTAATAAAAATTAATCATTCGTATAATACCAATTTGATGCTCAGACATGCATATCAAGTTCGAAACACCAGAAGAATTAATCATATCTGTTCAAGTTAAATATACTCTTTTCATGTGCATTTTAATAGGTGAAGTTACAAATGTCCAGTTGTCGAGAATTCTCGCTCATTTTTGTCTTCCAAGTTGAGTTGAATTAGTAATATGTTTTGAACGATTGTCTATTAAAATGGTGACTGACCAATAATTGATAATAAAACATGTTTATGATATAACTAAATCTCAAAAAGACTGTCCCGCTCTTCAGCGTCAACTAATACATTATGAACGATGTTTAAAGAAATTTCCCTGGTCACATGGATTATTAAGGGTTTTTTAATTGTAAAATACAAATATAAAACTGAACACATTATATGGTAAAATGTCAACTTATTGTTATTTTAAAGATTTCATTACTGTATTTTATACTGTTTATTTTATATACTGCATGGCTACATATACACTGCACATATACGTACATTCATTATCGAGTAATGTCATACATTTACACATGAAAGAAGCACTTTGTGAAATACTTTTGTTTCATGCTGGCATTTTAATACGCGGGCGAGACCAAATAATGCCAGTTATATAATGCACGCGATTGTTTTCTTTCAGTTGACTGTCCGGTCAGTGACAATTGGATTTGTGGGCGTGACTGGCCGCCTAGTTACTGTGACAGATTCTATAATGTACCAGAGGAGTGCCCGTATATGTGTGGAATATGCGGTGGTAAGTGATCTTTATGAGTTTCACATTTTTTCCGCCTATATGACTGAAATACTGTTGGAAAAAGGCGTAAAATGAAACAAACAAACAAACACATTTGTTCAAAGCTAATTGAGCCGTGTCACGACAAAACCAACATAACGGGTTTGCGCCCAGGATGGATCCAGACCAGCCTGTGCCTCCGCGCAGTCTGATCAGGATCCATGCTGTTCGCTATCAGTTTCTTTAGTTGTAATATGGTTTGTAAGCGAACAGTATGGATCCATGCTGGTCGCAAACCCATTATGTTGGTTCTGTCGTGACACGGCTCAATTCATTTCTGATAAAAAGCATTTAGAACTACACGTAGATATAACTTTACAATAGGGTTTTTTTTCTTACACAGAGTGATGACAGGTGTAAATTAAAAAAAAGGATGCAGCATTGTTAATCAATTATCTAAAAGGCCTATTTTGCCATAGAAATAAACATCTCAAAACATGTTTTGGTATCTTGTTACATTTTACAAAAAATAATCATTTGCTATATACATGATCTATTTTTTTTCATCTTTAGTTCTGTTGGCAATTGGTTTAATTATAGTGAATTTTTTATTTTGTATGAAAGTCAAAATACTATTTTGTTTACATTTTACTACCTTTCAACACATAACTGCATGTTCATCGCTACCTTTTTTAGTTGTAAAACATCTAACATGCTCTTAAGTCATTATTTAAACATCGTAATTCATTATTGAACACATGTTTGACATTCCTTAAGACTTTTACACATATGGATTTCTGAGGTACAATGTGCCTTTATAAAAGCTCGAAAATACATGAGATAATTGTTTTGCTATATAATATAATTATGTAATAACATTTTGCAATTAATAGTTAATCAATTATCGATGAAGAAAAGCGACCAAATATGAAAATAATTTTTGTAATATCAATTTCTCATGCTTACAAGCTTAAACTATTATTTGAATACTCACCCTTGTAACAATATGGGTGCTAAACAATTGTATCCTAATATTTTTAATAGTATCATTTTATCAATATTATAATTGAGTATTTAAATACCATATTTATGACAATTATTTGCATTAAGATACTATAAACCAAATTCTACTTCTTTTGGGAAATTTGGCTACCGTAAAGCAAATTTTTCTACCATTGCGGCATTTAGATACAAGAACAGTAACTGTTTTTTTTTGTTATTTACAGACGGGTCAACAAACACACATGTGGTAACAACACCAAATATAACAACATTTACATCATCATTCGGATGCCGTTACACAGGTGTCAGGGACGATCAAGGTAACATTAGATTATTTTTGAAAACATTTTTGTGAACTAAAAATGTGTATTTACAAACGTACATGTTTGTGCATTTGTAGACGCCTGTCCGGACAAAGGCACACAATTCGCTGTCAAGAGTACTTAATATTTAAATAATTAAAATATTTTGATGTCCAAAACTAGATCTAAGATATGTCTGTTTTTTGGGTCAGAACCTCGCTTAGACAAGAGATATATTGTCAATAAACAAACTAGCACACTATCCCATCTCCTAGACTACTTATATGGCTAGAAAAAAGATGGATATGACCTTTTGACACTGTAAGAACAAAATAAATGCCATATAATTATTTTATGTAACTATACTTCTAAGCAAACTTCAGTCAGCAATCGTTTTATATATCTAAAGCATTGGCTTGTCTAAAAAGAAGCATTTAGAAGAAACGCATAACATCAAGAATTGTTTTAATTACTAACAGTATACAGCGGAAGTGCAGGCTGGCCTGGCTATACACTGTTGTTAAAGTGTACACTTCTTCCGTTTAAGATTTACATGTAATACCGAAAAAGGTAATTCTTTGTTAAAGTGGCGCTCGTGAAAAATGCCATATCAAGAAGAAGGAAAAATACCCCCCCCCCCCCCCAAAAAAAAAATGGTTTAATATTTCACATGTTTCTTTTCATATTTCAGCGGCTTGTAGGAATTATGGTGAGAACGGGAACGATATGAGAATGTGTTCGAGCCAGGGAGGGACAGTGGGTTGCGGGGACTGTGACCGGTATTTCAACATCAAGAGAGACTACTGTCCTGTCATGTGTGGCCTATGTGACCGTAAGTTCAAAGCTCATGTTAAAATATTTGGCCGGAATAGGTTGTGACCACATTTGTTCTATAAAATGTCATAGAACACACGTTATTTAAGCTCTCCCGTGGCAGGCAACTTTATCCGTTAAACAGCCAGTTCTCCGGTGTACATATAAACACAAAAAATTACAGAGAATGTTTCTCAAAATATGTTAACGTATTGTTACTATGGGTGATGTCTCGTAAACAAGTTTCTTAGAGTTGTGTCCCTTTATCTTCTCCGTAATCCCAAAACGAAAATAATTATGAGTTATTATTTTTTACCTGACTCGTTTTCTTTATTACTCTTTTATATTCTTGAACATTTCAGCCCCATGTTCGGGTAAACGATGTAGTAATGGAGGAACACTTGATACAAACACGTGCTCGTGCAGCTGTAGGAAACCTTTCACAGGCGACACGTGCGAATTCGGTAACATATTCTACTGTAACATATTCTATTCGTATATGGTTCTGAAAGACCAAAAACTTCTTGTTAAAATCAGTTTAATGATTTAAATGGTCCGTCAAAATTTTTCCTAGATGTACATGTAATTAACTTTTGGGACAGCATATGAATAAAGGTAAATAGACGCATGTTGAAAAGTGTCAAAATTCCTTTGTATATGTTGCTGCAACAAAACCGCTCAAACCTGAATCAATATGCATTGAAAGGGATTTTTAGGCTGGAAAGGCTATGAAAGATGTTGCAAAATAATTTATGTGTTTAAAGAATAAAGTTAAAGATTTATTTAAGCAATCATACTTTACAAATGCCATTTATTTCTGTGAAGTTCGCGCTGTTTCTTTTGTCATAACATTTGTTTAATTTCGTTATTGGTCTAGATTTATATTTTTACAGCACAATGCCCGATAAATGGTGACCCTGGATTTTGTCGGTTCTGGCCTGCCCGTTATTGTCAGATGTACTATAATGTACCAGAAGAATGCCCGTATATGTGTGGAATATGCAAGACAGACAATGCCCCAGTCAGCGTAATGGGCAGGCCTAGACGGGGTGAACAGCCAATGGACAGCCAGTCTACAAATAACCGGTCAAGACCGAAGCGTCTAGGAGATGCTGCGGAAACACGCCGGAAACGCTGAGCAAGGACATTTAGATACGATGAAATATATCACCAATACAATTTGTGGTATTTTATATCCAGCGTCGTGGAGCAATAATATCATTTATTTACTTACACCCATAGGTGTCAATCTTGCCCAAATGTTTATCAAGATAATGCGTCACAAACTGGGGGTTTAGGGATTTTGAGATGCTAGCCGTTTATCATCCAATGTTATATAAATCGAGACTATCTTCAATCAAATGTAACAAAATTGAAATGTATACTATTAGTATTAAATTATTAATGAAATGTAGACTACATTTTTTTTCTTTCCAACTTATCCATCTTCCCTTATTATCGGACATTTTTTTTTCCTTTTATGCATACATGCCTTTTTAGTGCATTTACATCTGCTGAAGTCCAAGGACTCGGACAAAAATCATTGAACTAGAAAATGCCGACAATATGCACAACTAGACTTTTACTGATCATTCCTGTAAGGTTTGGATAAAATTGCACCAGTCGTTTCTGTGGAGTAGTCTGACGCCGTGTTCATAAAGATTTAAGGATCAGAATCAAATGATAAACTATTAATATTCTCCATTATTTATCCTCATAGATTAAATATCTAATATCAATTTGATAACACTGGACTTGCAATAGCAAATTCATAAAATTTTATAATTAATTTACTGTTATATTTACAAGATACAGGCATTTTACAATTGATCCAAGTATTGATTCTGATTCTAAAATTGATCCTTATTTTGATCCGAATATTTTTGTATTTGTTTTGTTATTTGTTAATTTAATCCCAAAATAGTTTGATTTCTTTGCAAATCAACATTTTTTTACATTTTGATTATTTACTATTTAACTCTAGCAAAACACAATCAATTTTAGTAACATAAAACAATGAAAATAAAATCAGGATCACTTGATCCTGGTCTATTCTTTGTGAACACGGGGTCTGGATAAGTTTTGTGTCAACCAGGCCGCAGAAAAGTGATCCCTTGTAAGTTGTGGCTACTTTGTACATGTATCAGCTTCTGCTGGCAACACAAAAACACCTTTTTTATTCCAGGGCCATAACTCTGCCAAAAATCATTTAAGCGGAAAACCCTTGTAATATGCTCAAGTACTTTAGCTACTTACAAAATTAATCCTGTAAGCCAGTCCGCATAGCTGAATCGGTTAGAGCGCGAGACTTGTTATCTCGACATTGCGGGTTCGATTCCCGGGCTGGCCAGCTAAAATTACTAATCAGTCTTTCGGACGTGACTTTAAATCAAGGTCCCGTGTATGGATGCTTATACTATTGGCACGCTAAAGAACCAAGAGAAGCTTCTGGAATCGTGGCGTCTTTATGTATCTGTAATTGTACTATCTTCCAAAATCTAAAATGACTAATACTCTTCTGGAGGTCTCGCCCATATGGGCAACCGGTGGCGACTAAACGCAAATACACACACAATGAAACTGCTTAAGTGGTATAAGAAGTGAAGTGGACATTGAACCAAAAATGCCGACAATATGCACAACTGGACTTGGTACTGATCATTCCCGATTTGGATGAAATTGCACTAGTAGTTTCTGCAAGTAGTCTGGAGAAGTTTTGTGATGGACAGACAGACGGACTTGCGACCGAATTGGGGTAAAGGGCCATTTCTATTGTTATTTTCTTTTGTTTAATCTTTTGTTCCATTGGTCCCTTCCTCTACTGTTACAGAATAAACTTTTTTGTTTTCTTTTGTTATGTTTACAGTAATATGACCCACTTATCCCTAGTTGGTAGTGGGGACGACAGATGACACATGGTGACTGATCCCTATATGTCTTCACTACTTTGTAACGTTCAACACAAAAATCAATATTAACAGCCATCAAAATATATTGAAAAAACAAAACAGCGAATATATTCTTGAGAAGATTTATCTTCACTTTTTTGAAATACTGTTTATTAAAATAATCTTCAATCACATAATTATGTAAAATGTACAAACTACCAAATTTACCTTAATTATAGGAAACACATAAACATTAACTTATTACAATTTTTTAGTATACATTTCCAATTAAAAAACCATAACAAGAATTTTCAGTAAATATTTCCAATTAAAAACCTATTACAATAATACATGTATAAAGTACATTGTGTAAATATTTAATTTTCTAAACTTATAACAATAATGTTGAGTAAATATCTGCATTTCTTATTATTATTATCAAATATTTACTTTATATTATTGTGATAAGTTCATAATGAAAATTATTGTAATAAGTTTGTAATTGTAAATATATACTGAAAATTATTGTAATAGTTTTAATTACAATAATTTCATTCATATTACAAACAAATTACAATAATTTTATTTATTCATTCATTTATCATTTTATTCATTTCAATCATGAATTCAACATTTTCATTCTCATTCATAAGGTTATCATGACCCATTGAATTAATCATCAAGAAAAACATTTTTGTCAATTTTTAATATATAATGATAAATCTTCTTGTCAATTATCAATGAATAAAAATGAAAGGAAAGAGGGAGAGTGACACTCTGTAAATGCAATCATTAATTCTTCAAGTTTAAAAAAACCATTAAATCATATCAATTAACCATTAAATCATATCAATTAACCATTATATCATATCAATTAACCATTAATCATATCAATTAACTATTAAATCATATCAATTAACCATTAATCATATCAATTAACTATTAAATCATATCAACTCATTATATCATATCAATTAACCATTAAATCATATCAATTAACCATTAAATCATATCAATTAACCATTAAATCATATCAATTTTAAACATACAACCATGTTTTGTATTCAAATTGCCTAAGCTAATGAATCACAGATCAATAGAAATTAAATTTGTTTCCTATAAAAACAATTATAAATCTGTTTTAAAATTTTACAATCAACAGGCCAAGAATCAAGTTCATGCTATTTTGTTCTTCATGATACATATTTTACAAGTACCACATAACTTCCATCTTGAATGAAACATATCACTTTTGATTTTAATTGAATGTATTAACTTAAAATTGTCACATTATCTGAATGATTCCAATACATTACATGTACTAGCAAAACATAACAAAAGAATAATATATCTTTATAAAAATATAAAATTATCACAGTTTGCTTCCTGGTATTGGCCCATCCCATTTCTCATCTGAAATAGAAAAACATAAATTTATTTTTTGTCTTTGAAAGGAAAGAAAATACAATTTATTCTGGATAATTACATCAAGATATTAATATTTAGATCTTAATATTATATAAGGCTCGCTTTAAAAAGGTTAATGTTAAAGATTCATAAGTCAAAAACCTGCTGGAACAATAGTGACTGGCCTTTGCCACCAGTAAAGAGCCAGGCCAACCTGTACTGCCATTCATTCTGATCAGGCATTTTTCTGTTGACTGACCAATCAGACTGTATCTCCAAAATTGACAGTTTCAACAAGATAATGCTATACGGCATTAACGTTCATTTATTTTAATTTTACTATCAATAACCAATTTTGACAAAAAAATTGGAAGTTAAAAAAGGGGCATAACTCCAAAAGTATAGCTTTCAGAATAACACTCCATTTCTTACAAAGGCATCATGTCATGATATTAATTACACATGTATTCCAAGTTTTGTGATGATACCTATAAAAAAATTTGAAAAAAGGGCTACATTAAAAACTGATGATGCAGCAATAATAATCACACAATGCTGTCTTTAAAACAGATGAGCTATGTCTATTTAAGAAATACATCAGGTTAAGAGTTAATATCATATTTCAATGCAATGCAGGTTAGAAACAGTCATCATTTCACACAATATGAAATATAACCAATCACTTCCAACATTTGAATCACATGATGTTCCAAAAGAAATCATTATTGGATCCAACCTAATCAATTTAGCCTCGTTTTCATTTCCAGAGTCCAAAAAGTCTATTATCAAATTCATATCACACTATATCAAAGCCTGGTTTTCATTTCCAGAGTCAAAAGGGTTAATACCAAATGCATATCACACTCCATCTAGCTTTGTTTTCAATTCTTAGAGTCCAAAAATCCATATCAAAACCTAATTGTACTTAAAGTAAAAAAGTTCTGTAAAAATGTCAAAAAGCACAGTGAAATAAACAGGTACATGGTTGAGTACAATATTGATTCTAGTGGACTCATACACAGCTGCAAAAATCTATATCAGACCAAGCTAGCAGCTCATCCAATTTAGTTTTGACAACTGTGTACTCATCCAAAAGAATTAAGTATTGTACTCAACTATGTATACATGTAATAACCTTACCCAGCAGGCACATCAACGTTGTTTCAACCTTGAATTATGGTCAGATTTCAACGTTGAAATAAGGTTGGATTTATATTCGGATTTGAAAGTTGAAACAACGTTGAAATTTCAACGTTGATACAACGTTGCAGCTTCAACGTTGAAGTTTCAATGTCATTTCAACGTTGAAAACCCACCATACTTAAATTTTTGGATATAAAGCAAAGTTACAAAGTTTAACAAAATATCAAGACAATATTAAATACTTCAGATATTTTATTTAAAAAATACAGTGCAAGTGCAGCTTAAATTCACTTTAATAGTTGTAACAATTAAGCTACAATCTGTTCCAATGTTTTCTTCTAGATCTTTCTGGGTATGTCAGGTGTTTGAGTACTTCTTTAGCTGTCTCTTACTGCTTCTGCAAATAAAAATAAGAAGTTGTTGACTTGGTCAATCTCAAATTATACATATAATTACTCAACTTAGTTATTTGTTTTTATCTTAAAATGTTTTTCTTTAAGATTTACATCATAAAACAGCATAGAAATTGAAACATAGCTAAGTTTCATATTGACAGCAAATACTGTATGTAAGACAACAAAATATTTTTAAAAAGAAGCTATTTAAAAGTCTCACCTATGATTGGTAAGAAAAACTACTCCCCGTCAGTTCCTTGCAGCTTATTCCCAAGAAATTAACATTCTAGGCTATAGCTAAGACCATTTTATGCAGCATCCTGAAATCAACAAACATGTAAATTTTATATTAATAATATTACAGGAATATTCAGAAAATAATATATTTTAAGACAAGATAAATATCCAGTAGTTGAAAAATTTATACTTTGTATTGTAAAAAAATTTAAATATATAAATTAATAAGAATTAATTTCAATTTAACAAACCTGACAGTCCTTTTCATGTTGAGTGTATGGTATACAGACTACAGCTGCAATACTCCAAATTTCAGCCAGGACCAGGATCTAGAATATAAAATAATATATTATAAAATAGAAATAGATTTATTATTCCCTATAAATTTACAACTATTCAACTTTAAAATTTAACACTCAACTTTGTAATTTAACTTAATAATAATGTATTTTTTTAACTTATTAACACTGTATTATACTATCACAAAAATATAAACATAGACATTGATATATATTGTCTTGGGACGTGAATTATGTGGGCCGAACTACTTAATAGGTTTCAATTTTATAATTGATTAAATTCTAATAAGGATATAGTACAGACAATTTTAAATGTTTAATAATATGAAAAATAGATTAAAGAATGACAAGATTTGTAAAATCATAAATTGCCAAGGACATCAATAACTTACAAGGCCTACAGAACCCAAATCATTCAATTAGGTCGCGAAAACGTGTCAAATCAACTCAATCATGTGTTTTCATCTCACATTTATTTCATACAGTTAATTAAAGTAGAATTTTAAGAATAAATAATAATAATTTAGAAAATAATCAGTAAACTAAAGTAAAACATTACGGTAATACCTTCGAAATCCAAATAAATTGCCAATCGTGTTGTTTTCAAATTTTCCAAACAGCGCCACCATTTGCACGAACGATAATCAAAGACCACAACAAACAAAATCATAGACCGCAACAATTACTTCCCCTGACCAGCGTTATTTTATAAACGGGGTTTTGACTAATATAAATTTATTGATTAATATTATTCATAAAGAACTAAAAAATAAAACAACAAACAACAAAATATATAAACTAACATTTAAAGCGTTAATATAAAGTGAAAAATTATTTCCAACTTTATTTGTTTAAACGCTTATTTTGAATATACGGAAAAAGATTGTAACGCAAATTTTCCTGACAAAAATCACATACAGACTAATTCAATAAAGGAATAATAACACAAAATTAGTGGTATAAAGGTTTATGTAAAGATTAAACTAAATGTAAAACTTCGACCATAAACAACATTGAATCAACGTTGTATATACATTGGCAATATAACCGTATGGTCGCCCATAGTTGAATATTGGTTGAACAACGTCACGACCATATTTCAACGTTGTTTCAACGTTGAAACAACGTCGAGTGCCTGCTGGGTATATTATTACATTTTAGGTTTAAATACAAACATTTAAAATACATGTACATTAAAAACTCGATAATGAGACCACTGGAGGGACTATGCTTATCTGGTCTTGATAACAGGGTGGTCTCATTAAAGAGTTTAGTCAGACTTTGTACTTACTTAATACTTGGGCAAGGATTGGGAATCTATCTGATCCAAACAACATCACTGGCTTCTTAACATGAGCAATTATTGTAGGTGACCCAAATGCCTGCAAAAACAAATTATATATGACACCTAGCTGTTTACATTTTTTATTTTTATTAGAGCTTGAAAAATTTAGTACTTAATCTACATAAATATAATGTGCTATAATTATATCACATTTTCAAAGTAAGAATGGTTAACAGTTTAAAAGAGTAATTTTTCACTGATGTGTCTATAGTGAAATGCTAAAATTGAACGCCATGTTTAATGACAATAGTGAAATATCGTTTTTATTAAATGGCTTTATTACACTTCTACGCCGCAGTTTATGCGATAAGGAATATTATCATTTTTTAAGAAAATTGTAAAGATAACCTGTTTATCAAATTTAATTTGTTGTCAGTATAACCAATGGAACATGTCAGTATAACCAATGGAACATGTCAGTCAGTATAACCAATGAAACATGTCAATATAACCAATGAAACATGTGCCCCATTGGAAATTAGATATGAACAGATATGTAACACATATAACTTCAACCATACTCATAATTAACCAGTAAGATACATTCAACCTTGTACTAGTTTTACAATTTTATATACAATGTAAATATATATATATTTTTTAGAAATTCAAAAGTTGGCTCACTACCTCGTACTCTAGAGCTTCACTTGTATATTGTTTTAATCTTTCTTTAACAGCTTGATCCTTCATTTTTTGAAGACAGGATTTCACTTGCTCGTCACCCAAACCAGCCTTTTGTCCAGCCTAGAATAGCAACAAAACTATCATTCTGAGGACATTGATGTTTTTAAAGTAATTCCAGTGAATCCTTTTTAAAGTAACATAGAACAAATAAAAATATAACACAGTGCGTTTACTTCATGGCACAGGAAAAGTTTTCCTATCAATCCTTTACTGAAAATCACAAACATAACCAGATTGACCTCCATTAAAGAGCACCTCTGCTGAAAAAACCTGCCTATAAATGCCACCCTTTACCATACCCATATGTTTAAAGAGCAAAATCAGCTGTTTTGGAAGCTACATTGCAACTACAAACATATTTTCAATGTTCAAGCCTAGTCTTTTCTTTCAACATGTTCATTTTAGCTTGAAGAAATCCCAGGACTTACTGAACCCCTCTTGACTCCACTTTATATACCTACCAGTTCTTGTGTTATAATCATAATCAAACATATTAAATAATCCAGCATGTTTTTAACCCATAATTCTTTAGCTGAGAATATCTAAAACATCTAATGACTTCACAATATTTAAGTCTCATCTTTAATAGCTTTTATTTGGCTGTATTGAAAAACAAAAGGGCCATGATGGCCCTGAGATCGCTCACCTGTATATACGCCCCCGGAGCGGGGCCAGTTTAAACCCCAGGGCTTTTATTTGAACAAACTTTGAAGACACCCATTAGAAGATGTTTCATGATGTTAAGTTTTTACTACACACATATAATGAAAAACAATGACCCCCCCCCACCCCCAACAGGGCCAATTTTAACCCAAGGGCTTTTATTTGAACAAACTTGGTAGACACCCATAAGATGTTTCATGCTAAACATCTAAGCTCTAGCTCATTGGGTTTTTTAAAAGAAGATTTTTTAAGTTTTTACTATACACATAAAGTTAAAAACAATGACACCTCTGGGGCGGAGCCAGTTTTGACCCCAGTGCTTTTATTTGAACAAACTTTGTAGACACTTACTAGAAGATGTTTCATGCTTAATATCTAAACTCTAGCTATTTGGGTTTTTTCTAAGAAGATTTTTAAGTTTTTGCTATACACATAATTATAAGGAAAATCAATGACCCCTGGGGGCGGGGCCAATTTTGACCTGAACAAACTTTTTAGACACTCACTAGAAGATGTTTCATGCTTAATATCTAAACTCTAGCTATTTGGGTTTTACTAAAGAAGATTTTCTAAGTTTTTGCTATACACATATAAGGAAAATCAATGACCCCCCCCCTCCCCCCCGGGGCGGGGCCAATTTTGACCCAAGGACTTTTATTTGAACAAACTTGGTAGACACCCATTAGAACATGTTTCATGCTAAATATCTTAGCTCTAGCTCTTTGAGTTCTTTAAAAGAAGATTTTTTTAAGTTTTTACTTTATGCATATAGGGAAAATCAATGACCCCCTGGGGCGGGGCCAATGTTTACCCCAGGGCTTTTATTTGAACAAACTTGGTAGACAAACATAGGAAGATGTTTCATGCTAAACATCTAAGCTCTAGCTCATTGGGTTTTTTAAAAGAAGATTTTTTAAGTTTTTACTATATGCATATAGGGAAAATCAATGACCCCCTGGCGCGGGACCAATTTTGACCCCAGGGCTTTTATTTGAACAAAATTGGTAGACACTCACTAGAAGATGTTTCATACCAAATATCTAAGCTCTAGCTCTTTGTGTTTTTTAAAAGAAGATATTTAAAGTTTTTTTTTTCGGTTGCCATGGCAACCAGAGTTCTGCATGGAATTAAATTCTTTGAACAATTTTTAAAGGTGACCACCAAAGGAACCTTCCTGTGAAGTTTAGATGAAACTGGCTTAGTGGTTTATGAGGAGATGTCATTAAAAGTAAAAGTTTACGGACCGACGGACGCTGGACGGACAGACGCCGGACGAAAAGCGATCACAAAAGCTCACCCTATCACTTTGTGACAGGTGAGCTAAAAAGTAAGGAAAAACTAATATTGTCACCTGTTGTAAGCTGTCAGGATCTACTATATCTTCATCCTGAAAAAAATAAGCATCTTAAATTCCATAAGCATTTTAAATTTGAATTTTGGAACAGCCTATTGTTCATGTGTTTTTATTTTTACATTAAAATTCTGAATTTAAGTAGCCAGTATTTTATTACAATTATATGTTTGTTTTTCTGTTGCTTTTTCCAGCATATTTTAAATATCTCTGTGGCTGATCCACGTAACACAGCCTTTCCTGGATAACTACCTAGAAATTACCCATTTCTTTGCAAGTGAGCAACTTCTAACATGATTTCTGAATCAGCAAAGGGAGACTGGGACCATTAAACTCAATGTCCAAGATTTAAACTCAATGTCCAAGATTTAAACTCAATGTCCAAGATCAATTGCTATTGAGAATATACATCTAGCCTGAGGATCGAACCAACCACCTTGGAGTACTTATCTGATGCTCTCCCTCTTGAGCTTTAGTGAGCAGACTATATAATAAATACTGTTATAATCCTTATACTCCTACACTGCCTATCAGTACATATAGGAATAAACAGCAACAGGACAGGGCATTTACCTAAGGGCCAGATCTATATTCTTACATTTTACCTGAGGCTAATGTGTAGTTCTTTCTGCCACATATTACGAATTAATGACAGTCAGTTGCCAATTATCTATTCTTTACTTTAACATAATGATTGCTAAATTTTTCTTTTTAGTTTATACTAATTTATTCTAGTTTGACTGTGTTATAAGACAAACGCTTATTGAAACTTCATTGAATCTGTTCCTGGAACCAACAGGTACTAAAAATTTTCTTATTGTAATACTAAATAGGCTACATTCCTACAATCAATTTAAAACTCTAGATTTAGCATAAGTAAGAGGGTTTCTTATATCAAAATGCCACAAACCAAGTATAAAATATTATAATGTCAGAACAAAACTGCACATTATGAGCAGGACTGGTGGCAAAGGCTTTCTCCTTTATTTATCATTCAGAAAGAAACTTTTTATTTTTAGAAACACTGCAGATCTTCACCTTCACCCTAAGGGCCCCAAAAGTAATCCCATGCAAGGTTTCAATATAAGCTTGCTAAGTATGTACTTATTTGATTAAAATATCCCATTCTTACTCTAGTTACTGACTTTAAAACCATTTTTCTATTTTGAGTAACATATACCTTTACCCTAGACTAGCCCAAAGCTATCCTTAGTGAGGTATCAATATAAGTTTACTATATATTAAGTTAGAATACAATAATCTTATAACACAAGTTATAACCGGAAACCATTAAATTGACCCACTGAGGCACTAACAAGCTCACTCCTAGATATCCACAAATACTTTGTTTGTGGAGTTTTTTTTATACATTATTGACCCTTTTATGAAAGCGATAAGTGTCAAGGAAGAGTTACTATGAATAAATAAACAAATGTTTGCTATGGAGGACGTAACCAGAGTAATAAGATATGAAAATCAGTAAAATTTCAAAGTGAATATTTTTACAATTTTCTCTTGGACATAAGACAGTATTAAAAGTTAAACATACAGTACCCGACTCCAGATTCTCATCCACAGCTCCCTAGATAAAGGCTCTACTTTAGAACTGTCCATTAAATCAACAGCTGTAATAAACCTCTGGGCTGACAAGGAACCTTTGTTAAACATAACTTCAGCTGGATCCTGCAATATAGAATGGAAAAGTTGAATGAAAAATTTATACCCTGAGACTATATGCATAATTAACTACATGTTATGGATATTTTTTTTTCAGTTGGGTTATATGTCACACCAACACAGTATAGGTCATATTGCAACTTCCAGCTTTACTGGTGGATTGAAACCTCAATAGAGTACAATCACCAACGTTCCGTAAGCTAGCTGGATAGCTTTCTCAGATGAAAGAATTTGAAGACGCTTACATGAATCAAACCTACAGCAGTGCGAGGCAAAACGGTTTTATTTATTATCAAGAGTGTCACAAAATAGGGGTAATGCATATTCCACAGATGGGTTGACATAATTCTTAGTTTTCTAGTGGGGGTTAAAATATTTCTGACTTTTACTTGTTTAAATTTATGTGTGATTTTTGCTAACAAAAATAAGTTGCTATCCAAACCCTCAGAGATTCTACATACTAGCTACATCCCGCAGAGGATTATGGCCCCCTAACCCTCCCTCTGTCTCTGGAACCAGGCAAAATGTGAGGCATCAAGTGATCAGAAATATTGCAGGGATCTTGTTTGACTTTTAAATGAAACATCATTACTTTTAAATGACCTAAAATCAATCCTTCACAAAATTACAATTTCGAAATAAAATGGGTTAAAAAGTTTTGTATACTGGTAGTATTACAAAATATATTATTGTATTAATAATATAAAACACTTTTAATGGATTATTTTGTTGCTAAACAAGAGCCACTGCCTAGTGGGGACCAAATAGACTTTTTCTTATTTTTAAGGTCAAAATCATCAGAGGAAGAATATTATAGTAGAGTTTTTTTTTTGTACCAAAATTAATATAATTCAAATTTAATATTTGACCTTGATGATCAAATCCTTACGGATAGAGAAAATAAAACTTGATAAAAATGTATTATAATTTAAGGAAAAGTAAAAAGATCCAAGGTTTAAGTAAATGTTTACATGTTATGTGTGATTAATGACAGATTTTGCAGACTAAACACAGTAAGGGCTATTCATGAAAAATAGCATGAATCTGAGGGTGTGCTGCTTTAAAAGGCATATTGACTAAACATAATTATAGCGATTTGGTGATCTGAAACTCTGCAAATGTTGTTTTTTTTCCATCTAATCATTAGTAACAAACTTTTACAGTAAGAACTTTATAACTATATATTGATAAAAAGCACCACATGTTGATCACACTATTGTGAACGGTAATATACCAATAAGCAATGCAATGGTAAATTTTGTTTGTATCTCGGGATTAAATGGGAATAACAAACATTTGCCCAATTCAGAATGACATCGGTTAAAAGCACCAAATAAAGAAGACATACTTTTGGTGGGACCAATGGTACATTATAATACTTTGCTAGTAGCTGCATTTCTTTAAACATGTACTTTCCTTTGTTTGGTACCATAGCTGGGGGTCTGTTACCTGCAAAAATACAATGTGAAGTTAAACCATGTCATAACATAAATTATATGTAAAATATATGATCAGTGAGAATGTTTCTAGTGATGTTAATATATTACCTTTCAATTTCATTAAAGTAATTCTACAAATAACTAATTTCTTCACATTCATTCATGCCATAATTTATAGGCTAATTCCAGGGACACTTTATTTGGAGGTGGGGGGGGGCATTGATCAGCAACCAAATTGTTTTTAAAATTTACATAGTGTCATACAACCTATAATACTGTGGTATTCAAAACTTGCAAATTTAATGACAATCTTTTTTTAAAGTATTGTAAATTCAATCAGTCACAGAACAGAATAAGGAAATAATCACATTTTAATATGGGGATCTGATGATGATGTTTTTTGTTTTCTTCAGACCCCAACTGAGTAAAGTTGTAAAGAGTATAAAGCTATACATACATTCAAACCACTTGCCCATCACCGCTGTGAGTTCGAATCCCAATAGGGACTTTGGATTCTTTCATGTGAGGAAGCTATCCAGCTAGCTTACGGAACGTTGGTGGTTCTACTCAGGTGCCTGTTTGTGCCTGAATTATGTACGGAAGGGCACCTGAGGTCTTCCTCCACCAGTAAAGCTTGAACATCGCCATATGACCTATACTGTGTCCGTGTGATGTAAAACCCAATCAAGCAAACAAACAAACAAACACAGCTCTATATATACACTGCCTCTTGTTTTAAAAAAAAACATTTATGTAGAAATCATTTCTTAAAATGATGTATGTAAATTAATTCTATAAATCACTTATTCCATTCACATTATGTTTTCAGTTTTTATCTGAGCTAATAAATGTGCCAACAAAAAACAAGTTTTGGCCAAAGTCAAATGGGATATTTTAATCTACAGGCTGATAACACAACTGGTTTTAACAGGATTTTAACTGATGATATGAACCGCCAATCTGTTTAATAATGAAGACACTGGAATTCATAAGTCATATTGAATTTTTTATATTATTATAATCATGATGGTATATATTAGAACATATTAGAACTGTCATCGCTAGAACTGAAATAATATTGATTTAATGATGATATTTTTCTGTCAATCAATAATAAATACACATTTGAGAAAGTCAATAATTTTGACCTAATAACTGAATGTCTAGAAATTATGAAAATTCACCCAAAACATATTATGCAGAAGAATATTTCATAGCAGTGATGACAAAAAATGGTCAGCAAAAATTATGCAATGGGAATTTACAAATAAGTATGAAAAGAAAATGCTTTTTACAGAATGCATTTAAACAGGTATGAAAAAATATACAGACAAGTAATTAATACTTAAAGTAAGTAGTTATCCATACATTGGTGTACAGTAAACTCCGCTTATAACGTACTCATTGGGACATCCAAAATCTGTTCCTTATATCCGGAGTTCCTTATAAGCATATAGCGAATTAGTTCCTTGTATCAGGAGTTTTTATAGCGAACAGATTTACATATAACGAACTGATTATTTTACCATCGTCCGCCATTTCGAAGAGCATTTGATTAAGACAAAAATAGTCATTTATTTCTAATTTAGACACAATACTCGAGAACGTACTTTTTGAAATTTGAAAATCCTTCAGTTTAAGTATTACCCCCTTTCTCAATTTCTCATAAAATATCATAATTATTTTGTTTCTAAACTCAGTGCTTTTCGATTTTTTTCCATGATTAAGAATAAACAAGATTTTCAATTTTCCTTCCTTTTATATTGAATATCTTCTATTATATTATAAGAATGACTTTTACTAATAAAGCATATACATTTCTTTTCCTTTCAATCAAGCATGCTTTGTAGCTTTTAATGGATTATGCTTGCAAGCATGCGTGATTATGTTGAAAACCGATTATAAATGATCATAATTATTTTACTGATAAAGAAACTATTAAATATAAGCATAAAAGGAATAACCGTTTTATCTTGGTGACAAGAATTTGTGTTAGAAATATCCTGAATAGAAAACTATTACGTACTGCTATACAAGATGTCTGGAACTACATACAACAATAAACGGTACATTTGGTATGTGCCAATGAAAACGAAAGTTGAAAATGCGGGATCTATTTACGGATAGACAATATTTTGGAGTTTGCTATAAAAGTGTAATTTTCTGTACGTTTAACTAAAGTGGGACTATCACTAAGAAATATGTTCCTTATAAGCGATAATTCCTTATAACCGTGTTCGCTATAACTGTATATTTTTATATTAAATAAAGAAGGGCAAAATTCGGGCCAAAATAAATTGTTCCTGATAACCGGAAGTTCGCTATAACCGTGTTCGCTATAAGTGAAGTTTACTGTATCATCAATATCTGTTGTCTGATATTGATATATTGTTTATATTTGCTTTGCACTGAATCAATAACAACTCTAGAATATATTGGGACAGTGGTTGATGTGGTGTCAAGCAGGAGATACTTGCAGGTTCAGAAAGGTACTAATGAATAAAGGTGTAAAAGTGTTGGATCAATAAATATAAGTTTAAGCTACACTTACTTGCTTCATTCATTATTCCTCCCAGGAAAAATGGTTTCAGCTTTAATTCTATGTTCCATACATTCTTATACCTGCAAAGCACCTGCAAAATATTAAATGAATAAGCAAGTGACATATAAATCTGTCAATAAAATATAAACTTGACAGTCTAAATGACTTTTTTGGTAGTTGGATTTTATGTCACACTGATACTGAAAGGTCATAAGGTGACTTTCCAGCCTTATTCACGTAGATGAAAACCTCATGTGCCCTTTTATGTCGCAAGATTTTGCGAGAACTGATGCATCCTGGGTAAAAGTAGCCAAAATACCGCCATATTGAATTCCCGGAGAAACATCAACAAAAAAAGTTATCATATGTCGCAAGATTTTGCGAGAATTGATGCATCCTGGGTAAAAGTAGCCAAAATACTGCCATATTGAATTCCCGGAGAAACATCAACAAAAAAAGACTAAACATTTTTTACTTATATAAGAAGCAATAGTTATTTATTCTAAAACCTACAAAACACACTTTTCCACACAAATATTTCTCCGATGAAAATCCATGTTGGCAATGCCAGCAATAATTCACGGATATCGCCAAAGTTAAACGATAGTGTGAAAATCGGATACTAGCGGGAAAACCCAATTATTACCAAAGCGCGCAAAGGATTGTGGTTCTGAATCGGACTCTCGTCTATTTTCAGAGTGCCCTATCTATTGTTTATATATCTGTCCTGGTCACCAGTAAGGGCTGCAACAATACACCTAAAGTTTGATTTGATTTTGATTTCAGACACCCCTATTTTATCTTTTTTCGATTCGATTCATGTGTGATTACAATATTGTCTTCATTTGACAATCCTGTTCATTTGCTGAAAAAGTTAGTGGCCCTATCAATTTATTTTGGCATTTCTTTAGTTGTCTCAACTTATTTGATCCTTAGACTTAACTGCATGACTTGTTATTTCTAGTAGCTGGGACAACTACATGTAGTAGTGAACTTTATGAAAATAAAAAATGGCAAAATTAACACTAGGCTTTTTTAGCAAATCAACATCAGTATACATCTTTCTTGACTAAAAAATCTCAGGGGAGTCTAAATCACATTTTTGGAGAAGGGATAGCGTTAGAGAATAAAATAAGATCAGAACGTCTTAACAGCTTAAGTATCCCCACAGGAACTTGAAATTCTATCAATATTAATGATAATATCCAAAATATACCCCATATACAGTATAAATTTATAGTATATAGGGGGTATATTTGGATATTATCATTAATATTGGTTATTTGATAGAATTTCAAGTTCCTGTGGTATCCCTATTATAAATGTCAAAAATTAGACCGAAATTTTGTATGCTATGGAAATCAAATATCATATACTAGGATTACTGTCAATACATAAATATCAAACAAGATTTACTGACTATAATTAATGACAAGTATACCTCGAAAGCAAACCATGAGTAAGGGGAAACTACATCATAAAATAATTCAACAGTTTTCCTTGTGGGCGCAGCCATTTTTATTCGCGAATTGATATGGATAAAACCCGTACCGGATCGGTTATAGCCTGTAAGACTATTCCGTATAAGTGTCGCAAAACTAACATGTTTACGCAAACAATATAGAACACAATGTAGAGTATTAAACTCTTTACGGCTAGTTAAATGTAAATTTAGTGTCTTCAGACGAAACTTGAAATCATTATTAATAGCCTACAAAGTTAATATCATACATGTGTAAACACGTACATGTACACCACGGATTTATATAAATCCGTGCATACACGTAGTTTTTATCAGACGAGTAAGAAATTAGAATTTTAAAAACAAAGATCTACACTCATAAAGTCATCTTGCTCAACCCTTATTAATCATCAGAAAATTTTATCTTTGTAACATGAATGTGGCATCTGTTTATATATATATACAAAGTACCATCAAGTTTCAATATTTAATGTACTTTCTTGACAGTAGATGTTAATAACTTTTTAATTCACGTTGAAAATGAATTAAACTTAGTTTATGGTAAATGTTAAAAGTAACTGATAGTTGACAAGTGTAGGTCATGCAGGGTTTGCCCCCATTCCCCTAGCTTGCACCCTCTCTCGAGTGTGAATGTGAGGTCTACCTCTCTTTAGGTTTAAAGACCGACGTCCATAAAAACTCAAAACCTGATGTCAATTAGAGTCATAAAATGTGTGTCCCGAATTATGACATAGAAACTAAGATTTTTCAATTTGATCATTAATTATACATAATTGACTTGGGTTAAAGATACAGTTGAGTTCACACTAAACTTCCCACCCTTGTGCACTTCTAGTGCACTAGAGCTGAACTAGAAGTGCACACCGTGTGCACTTCTAGTGCACTAGACCATATGACCAGGCTGGCCAGGAAGGTGACACCTAAATGGTTTATTGGATGATTGTATATCAAGTGACAGGGGGTATCTGTTGTTAAGCTGCTGTAACCATATTGTGCATAGACAGATAGTGATCATCGGAGATTTTATTTTTTGATAATACAAAAAGAGTTTTTCATGAACTGTGTATCAAATCTCCAATAAAGTACATGTACGCTAATATCACTGGATATGGTTTAAACATATTTATTTAAGCTCGATTGCGAAACAAGTTCTTGCAACTTATATTCACTTTCGAGTCCGCCAGTACTGGTGTCATATGGAGAAACATGGTCGTGACCCGAGTAGGGCTCGAACCCATGATCTCTGGGTTGAGAGGCAGACACCTTAACCACTAGGCCACCGCTCCCCTTATTCACGATATGATCAGCTTTACTACTGATTTTTTTATTGCCTAAAAAAACGAATATGTATATGATTTTTACATTTCTCTGTTCATTTATAGTACATTGATTAATATGTACAGATGTGGCACTTAAGCTTACACATTGTATTTCCTTTCAGGTATTTAAATGATAATTAATATTACTGACTAAACAAAGATGTATTTCACAGACTTCCGCTTGAGAGTGAGTAATACGCGAAAAAATACCGATTTTGGAATGAAAATTGTTAAATAAGTTCAATCATAATGATTGAGGAATTGTTAAATTTCAAACTAGGAGATACTTCTGGTCTAAGCTCTATGGTAAAACCTATATTTTCCGGGGGGAAAACAAAACAAAAGAAAATAATTAATGTCTCACCCCGATTCTAAAATTTGTCACAATTGTTGTTTTCAAGCTTTACATAATTATAATAAACGAGCAAATCCTCTCGATACTTAGAGGAATAATCACATGCCCTTAGAAAACTAAATGTTATCTGGTGTGCGCACAGTTGTCTAGGAAAAAATGCCAAAGAAATCGTCATTGGTGTTGTTTCTCAACTGTACGGTTGCTTGCTACTCATTGTACGGTTGCTTGGAAAAAAAATGAATTGTGTACGGTTGTTTTACAGTCAGTCGACTATTTTGAAAATTCTTGATATTCTATTTGTTTAAGCTATTGTTAATGAAGTTAGGATTAAAAATCACATGTAAACGGTTACCTTGCAAGTAACCGGACGACTGGGTTTTCAGATTATCCAAGCAACCGTACAGCGAGAAAACCTCATGGCAAATTTTCTCAACGAAGGTGTTCTCTTCAAATTTTCCCTCATTTTCTAGTACTTAGATTATTATGTTCCTAGAGGTTTTGCACGAATATTAGATGTAAAACTTCGGAATTGTTGCTTGATCGAAGTCTTGAAGTCGACAAAAAAACAAACAACATGCTGATTAAAAAATAATTGTTGCTTTTTGTTCTTAATGGCATACTTCTCGATTGAAATATCATTCCTTTACTATTATACTATAAGGCTACACTGCAATGATGAGTATAAACTTGAATTATTTTTGTATGCGCAGCGTTCGAGTACTCGTTGCACGCCTAACACGTGCGTCTTTTTTCCCGCGCTTCAACGAGGCAAAATTTGTACATGTATATAAGGTTGTTACTTTTGTGACTTTTTTTATTAATTAGACTATTCATATAATAAAACAATTATTGACTAGTGAGCCATTAAATATGATGTGATATTCACCGGCAGAAAGTCATATTGATCTCGGCTTTCGCCTCGGTCAATATGTCATCTGCCGGTGAATATCACATCATATTCAATGGGTCACAAGTCAATAATTGTATAATATAAAGTAAATTATATACGTACCTATCAAGAAAAAAGGAAAGTTATTTCTTTTGTAAAACAGTAGATAGGAAATGCCATTTCTTTTCATATTGTGAATAAGTGACACCATTTTCAAAATAAGAAAAGTACAGTAGATTAATGTCTTTAAGACATAAACAGTGTATTTCCAACTTTCAATTGGAAAAAATAAAGGTCTGTGGGATAATCAAAACAATGCGAAACATTATACATAGCACCATTATCTCCCGAAACGAAATTTAGGATTGGAAACACTCCTGATCTTCGGAAAAAGAAAAAAAAATGCTCTAAATAAAGGCAAAACATTGTATGATAAAGTAAATTTAACACTTTAAAAATTACAAAATTTCAAACTTTCCTATTTTGTTATACTTTTCATTGTTTTAATCACATTTCGTCTTTTATAACGAAATAAGGTTTCAAAAAACGTTTGCGCCCATTCACAAATATTATGCATTCAAATACGAAATGCAATTGATCATTTGCTGGGTTTCTTGCCCATTTTCTGTTTTTTATTGGGAGATTGCGGCTAAACGGGTGCTAAATGACATGTATGAATATTAAATTGAAGGCATATCGGTAAGAATAAGACTGATTATGTCTCAAATTTTACATTCAAAAAAGTTTATAGAAAATAGCCTTTTTACTTGAATTTTCCACAGTGACATACAAATCGTTAAGAAACAAGCCTTTTATTTTTGTTGTATCATACGTTTCAGCCTGATACAGTTTGGGAATTGATGCTTCGTCCATATATTTGATATATTATCAATCCAAGGATATCTTTTTTTCAATGACACTTTTTGAGCTATTTTACTACATTTCTTTAAAAAGTTGCACATATTTATCGGTAATGCATCTAGATATTTTGGTATGAATATGAAACCCCAGATAAAGGTAACCAATGAACGAGCATATCGCTATTCCTTTCTCTGTCGTCACAATAAGTACCCCCGCCGACCCCCCAAAGTATGGTAAAAGTATGGCTGCAAATCATTAAATCATTTAGATAAATATCTAAATGATAAAACCAAGGATATCAAACAGTATGCAGAAGCGAACAATCCTAGATGCCTTAAAACACCTTTTTGCAAATACCTGTCTTTGATTTCAGAAGACGGCCCCGACCCCTTATAAGTAAAGGTATCACTGGAGAAATAAGATATTCGGTACACAAATTTGGTATTCATACTATACAAAAGTCCAAGCTTTCATAAAAAGGATTCGACGAGCAACTACTTGTAGCAGGAACTCAACATAGGAGTACTGCTATACGTGCATTCAAGCGCACAAGCAACGAACAGCTAAAGAGAGTGTCCGACGCGCCAAATCTTAGCCAGCAAACAAAAGGCAACTATAATCTACCATCGGCGTTATCAGTAACGTCAGTAATGTCCACAAGCAGTAGTGCGACCACCACTGTGTCGAAATTAACAATCACTAAAGTTAATTTTAATGTCAATATAAAGTTTTAGAGAGAGCCTTTGCGAAGCGACACATATATAATTCAATGACTGGTTATTTTTGAGAAACTAGAGTATTATGTAATATAAATCCGTGATTCAGGAACTTTAACGAGGTAACGCGAATTTCATGAGTTAAGCTGATGCTAACTCATAGGAAATGTCTAAATTAAAGTTAATCTTTTTTGTTGTTGTTGTTGCTTTTTCTCCCAATATTATATGACACTTGTAGGTCTGTAAATGGCTCAGGCATACCGGAAATCAAACAAAGTAATATATTAGTTGCGTTATAATCAATGAAGCACAAAAGAAATCTTCAATTCGGTAGTCAGGATTGATTTATTGCTTATTGCGACAGGTTTGCACTATTCGGCGAGTTCTCTCTAAATGCGCCGTTTTACTGCGTATTGACGGTGTATTTTCCTAATCAATTACATGTAGCACCTTAATGATTTCCGTGCACTTCTACGTCCGTGAGAAGACATTTTTAAATAACTGTTACATCCAAAGTGAATTTACTATTGTCACTAATTTATAATGTCTTAAATGTACGACTTTTAACTGACTCATACAGAACACCGTACATTTTTGCGATTGCATAACTGACAATGAATTAAAGGGCTATCTAAAAGTATCTTCTAATAGACGTAAGAAGACACTTTCTTAATAGCTCTGCAGCGGGTAAAGTCGTACAATTTTATTTTATAGAGATAAGGGCTATATCTTCAATTTATCGCATGGTTTTGAACTTTTCCTTTGTTCTTACTAGCCCATTATACTCAGTACACTTCAATGAGCATTTGAAAACTATAGTGATATATAACAGTACAGTTTTTTCATTGATTCATATAGGAAAAAAACTCGACTGTTATATATCGGTTGAGTTTTTTTCGCACCTGTTATATATCAATGCAGTTTTTTTTC